CCTTTACTTCTCCTTCACATCTCCTATTCACGATTCAAGGACTTTCTTTTCCCCTTAGAGATAGAGTTATGCAATTTGGGAGTCTTTTAGATAGACTCACTGAGGCCTCATCCTGTATCCCTGTTTAGCATGGAAAGAGCCAGAGTGGTCTGCGTCCCCATTCCCTATCCACAAGTTGGGTAGCCTCTTCAGAGGGTTATGTGATAAGAATAGGAAGTAGGAATTGGCTAGGCAGTTAGGGTAAAAAGACCCCAAAGAAAAGTAGCCAGTTTCTTGGCTAAAAGTCAAAATGTCCTTGGGCCTCTTAGCAACATACTCCATTCCAAAGGCCAAAAATGTTGAAAGTATTTGAGAGCTCTTATTTAATCCTTAAAAGATTTTAAGGTTACCTCTTCATAGGGGAGAATGTTAAAGTAGCAAAAAGCCCCATTAGAAAAAAAAAAGAATATAAAGAAAGAAAGAAGAAGAAAGAGTACATGAAGTTATCAGAAAAAAGTGATGGGGAGATATGGGAGGAATTGGAGGGGAGGGAGTAGGCATGGATTTGATCAAAACTCCTTATATGCATGTATGAAATTCTCAATAAATTATTTATTTAAAAAAAGATGAGGAACCAAAGTTCACACAGATTAGCTTTCTAAAGATCACACAAAAAGTAGGTGGTAGGTCAAGAATTAAAACACAGCTTGTGTGGTTCATCCATCAACCCTAGTATTCTTTCAAGAAGGATTTCTTGTGTCTATTGCAGGTGGAGAAGCAGCAAAGCCCAAGAATTCTAACATGCTCACTGTTGAGAGTTTCCACTTAAATAATTCCTAAGATATGTGTTTCCCACCACACCAAACTACTGATGCAATGATTACACAGTAGGCCCTTGATCTTATGAGAATAGTGGAAATTAAAGGAGAAAAATCTTTCAGGGAATTCTATAATTTAGTGTATTTTAGCACCTAAGCCAACCCCGTGAATCAGCCCTACTTAATGCATGTATCAGTGAATTTCCCTATGTCTTGATTTTTCTTTTTAAAAATGTTATTGATAATTTATTAAGTATAAAAGCAACTTATAGCTTATGAAAAATTATCATTAATGGGGGCTGGAGAGACGGCTTAGCAGTTAAGAGCACTGACTGCTCTTGCAGAGGAGCCGGGTTCAATTCCCAGCACCCACATGGTGGCTACTAACTGTCCTTAACTCCAGTTCCAGGGGAATCCAAAGCCCTCTTCTTACCTCTATGGCATTGCACGACACAGGTACACTCATAGACATGCAGGCAATACACTCATATACATAAATAATAAAAATAATTAAAACATTTATTTTAAAGGTTTATAAAAAAGAAAAAGTATCATTAATAACATATCATTATTTGCCTTTGTTAAGTCTCTTAGCCATTTAAAAAACACTTCAAAGTTTGCTCTTTATATAATGACAATCCTTGCCAAATTTAACTCTTACTTCAAGAATTTGCGTTCTTACTTCTTCTTATAGAAAATGATGAAATTTTAAAAATTTTAAAGTATAACATTTTGATTAGTTCTTTGAGAATTTTATACATACAAACAATGTATTTTGATCACATTCACTCCCTCCCCTCCCCTACAATTCCTTCTGGATCCACCATCCACCATCACTAGCTTCATGCCCTCTTTAGAAAAATAATAGTAATAGTAACTCACTGAATCCAGTCATCCACTGGAGGACAGGCAACCTTCCAGGGCCCACACCCTAATGAAAACAGACTCTCCCTCCCCTAGCAGCCATCAACTATCAATAGTGTCTCAGCTAGGGGTGTGGGCTCTTGAGCCTCTTCCCCATCCATACTGGAATGTTGACTGTCTTACTCTTTTGCAGCTCTTATGCAGACAACCACAGCTGCTAGGAGTTCATGAGAACTGCAGTCCTGTCATATCTGAAGACACTACTCCGCCCCAGTCCTCCCAGGCCTCTGGCTCTTGGAATCTTTCTGCCCTCTCTATGGGAATCTTTTTCCTTAAAAAATTAATAGACTGGGCTGTAAAAATGGCTCAGTGGTTAAGAGCACTGGCTCCTCTTGCAGAGGACCCAGGTTCAGTTCCCAGTACCCACATGGCAGCTAACAACCATCCGTAACTCCAGTTCCAAGGGATCTGACATCCTCATCTGGCCTCCATGGGCATTGCATAACACGGGTGCACTTACATACGTGCAGGCAAAACGCTCATAAAGTTAAAATAATTTTGTGAAAAATTTTCAGATAAGACATTCATCAAGCTGTTGCTATGTACTGTGCACATTGCCAACACTTTGAGGAAATAGAGCAGTTTAAGAAATTCAGGCCTGGGGCTGGAGAGATGGCTCAGCAGTTAAGAACACTGGTTGTTCATGCAGAAGACCCGGGTTCAAATCCCAGCACTCACATGGCAGCTAATGACTGTCTGTAACTGCAGTCCCAGGGTATCCAACAACCTCTTCTGAATGCTGTGGGCATTGCACAACACAGGTGCATTTACCTATATGTAGGCAATACATGCATACACATAAAATAAAAATAATAAATAAAATTTTAAAACAAAAAGTTAAAAAAAGAAAAGAAAAATTCAGGCCTTGGTCTTAAAGGAACTTGATGAGCAACTGGTGTTACATAATAGAATTGTGTCTTAGAAAATTGCAGATGGGTTGGGGCAGGCAGAGAATGTTGTTTCTAGGCTAAACACAGACTTAACAGACTTAAGAACCCAGTTGATAGAATTGTGCTGTTTTGGATACATTGCATTAAATTAAATATATTACTAAAATTAAAAAAAAAAAGAAGAACCCAGTGGATTAATGTGCTCCAGCCTTGTGCTTGATGTTAGGTCTGGGGACACGAAGCAGGAGGGAAAAGACAGCCGTTAAGTCCCAGTGGAGTTTGTCTAGAATAAACAAGAGTAGAGGGGTGAAGATGGAGTCTGCTCACTTTCCCTACATCTGTTTTCTATTCAGGTATATTCTTAGTAAACAACCGGAAAGATGGAAAGCACAGGGAAAGGAAATAAAAAGGATGTGCAAGATGGACCACCAAAAGAAGTCAAGATGCCTGTCAGTGAAGCACTCCTAGACTATACGTAAGTCTGTATCCTGATTTCAAAAGCTGTCTTCCATGGAAACCTTGTTGAGACATATAAGTTATGGAAGTGATATAGCTATGCACTGCCAAGAAAGTATGCATATTTTTAAACGCATTCGAAACTTTGAATATAGCACAGGCCAGGCAGTATCTATGAAACAGCGCTTCTTGATGTGGCTTCATCTCCCTCTGTTGTGCCGTGTTAATAGTGATTCTTTCCAGTGTAGACAATTTGCTGGCTTACCCTTAAAACACATCATGGGATAGTTAGTTTACATTTATTGGAAAATAGAAGTCATTTGCCTTTAACTTTCTATTTCTTAGATATTCCAACTTATACTATTCCTAAATAGCTACTTATCAAATCCAAGTGATTCAGAGAAATGTGTTTGTGTGTGTGTATGAATGTGTATATGTGTGTGCAGGTGCACATTTGTGCAGGTGTGTGTGTGTGTGTGTGTGTGTGTGTGTGTGCCAGAGGACAACCTTGGCTGTCATTCCTCAGGCATTTTCGACCTTGTTTTGGTTTTTAAAAATTATTGATTTATTTTTATGTGTATGAGGGTTTTGCTTGCATGTAAATAAATGCACCACATGCATACAGCGCCCATGGGGGCCAGAAGAGGATATCAGATCCCCTGGAACCGGAGTTACAGGTGGTTGTTATCCACCATAGGAACATGTGGGTCCTCTGAAAGAGCAGCCGGTGCTTGTAACCACTGAGCTATCTTTCCAGCCCTCTACCTTGTTTTATGAGACGGGGTGTCTCACTGGCTGGGAACTTGCCAAGTAGGCTAGGTTGACTGTCCAACAATCCCTTAGGGATCTGCCTGTCTCTGCCTCCCAAGCACTAGGATTCCAAGCATGTGTCAGCATACTAGGTTTTTTTTATGAAGGTTCTTGGGATCAAATTCAGGTCCCCATGCTGGCAAGGCAAGCACTTTATTGACTGAGATGTCTTACCAGTTTCTTGGGGTTTTGTTGTTGTTGTTGTTATTTTGTATCTTTTTCATTTATTTAAATTTTATTTTATGTGTATGAGTTTTATACCTACATGTATGTAAGTTCACCCTTTGTGCAGTGCCCATGGAGAACAGAAGATGGTGTCGGATCCCTTGGAACTGGAGTTATGGATGTTTGTTAGCTGCCATATGGGTGCTGGGATTTGAACCTGGGTCTTCTACAAGAGTAAGCCCGCTCTCCAGTCCTCTTGTTTGTTTTTCACATAAGGTCTTTCCATGTAACCCCACCTGGCCTGGTACTTGCTATATAGCCCAGACTGGCCTTGAACTTGTGAAAATCTTCCTGCTTCAGTCTCCTAAATGCCAGGATTGTAAGCATGCACCACCACTCCTGCCTTAAGAATTGTTTTTAATAATGAGATCATAATGTCTCACTCCTAGGAGCTGCAGCTGTTTTATTTTGACAATTAGCCTCTTGGGAGCCTGTCATTTTCAACTTTTGACACAGGGTAGGTGTTCTAATGTGTAATTTTTAGGGAATTCAGGAGAAGTATTAGTTTCCAAATAAGACTGAAATTATTCTTTTTCATTCAACAAATATTTGAGTGTTTATCATGTTCCAGGCAAGAGTTGGGTACTAGAGCATAGCAATGAACAGGACCACGTGGTCCCTGCCACGATAAAGCAGGGAAGGCCAACACTGAGAGAGGGAGAGAAGGAGAAAAAGGGAGAGGGAAGAGGGGAAAGAGTTGGGTAGAGGAGAAAAGGGGAGGAGGGAGAGAGGGCGAAAGATTATATAGTATAGGATGCTTTTATTGGCAGAACTGAAGGACTTGACTTAGAGGGTTTGGAGAAGCATCTGAGGAAGCCATGAGTTGATTTCTAGAAGAGGACAGTTGCTGTGAAGAGAGTGGTATAGAAAATGACTTAAGAAGACACTGGGATGTGAAAGAGCTTGTCACAGGGCGGGAACTGACAGAAGGAAGAATGAAGGACAGAGGGCAAGGGTAGACTCTAGTGATAGGACAGACCAAGAAGAGCACGTGGGATGGGAAACCATTTATTCAAGGGATGTAAGGTTGAAGTTAGGGAGCCTATGATGCTAATGACTAGGTCTTTATTCAGAACATTGTCTTGAGGGGCTGGAGAGATGGCTCAGCTGTTAAGAGCACTAATTGGTCTTGCAGAGGACCCAGGTTTAATTCCCAGAACCCACATGGCAACTAGCAACCGTCTACAACTCCAGTTCCAGGGGATCAGATGCCCTCTTTTGACCTCCACAGGCTTTGCATGACAAGGAAGGGTATACTTGCATATGTGCAGGCAAAACACTCAAACACAAAAAATAAAAATAATTTTCTTTAATGTAAAAAAGCAAATTGTCAGGCCAGAGAGATGGCTCCGTGGTTATAAGCAAGTACTGCCCTTGCAGAGGACCCCTCTGGAGTTTCCGGCACCCACATGAGGTGGCTCACAACAGTATGTAAGTCCAGCTCAAGGGATCTGATGCCTTTTTCTGGCCTATATGTGTGTATCATACATATAATTAAAAATAATAAAATACATATTTTTTAAAAAGAAAAGAAAATTGTCTTCAACAGTAGACAGGGAGAGCCCCTCTCCTTCTCCCTAAGAAACTCCAAGTACATTTATGCCTTGTTTACAGGACAGTGAGTAAAGGCCAGAACCTTAACCAACAACCAGCCCTTGGAAAGAGATGTGACACTTTTGTGTTTTCTACTTGAGATAGCATTAAGGTAGTAATTATCCCCCACTCATTTCTTAGTGTGACTGAAAACCTTCATCTCAGGAATGTATGAAAAGCCTGGCTCTGTAAATACAGCCTCATCTCTAATTTGCTCCCTTGATTTTAGTGGTGACATCCAGTGACAGCTGTTCCTCTCTTCAGGGTCAAACAGAGGCCATCTTTCTCCTCTAACAGAAGTTTATGAAGAAGCAAACTTTGGGGATTTTTCATGAGCTAGTGTAGATAGAAAATAACTGTTCCCATGCCTTTGTTATCTGTCATTTGTTAAAACAAAATAAATGATCTCATGGGCAAAAACAGTAAAAGGCTTGCTGTCCTGCTCTCTGTTAGTGACAGTTCACCTGTTCCAGTTGTTCCCCTGTAGCAGAACTTTTGTCATAGACAAGAAGCCAAATCACCCCCCTGTCCATCTGAGGAAGGACTGCCCAGGGCTCCCCTGGCAGCATCTTGTATTTCTCGTTCTGTCTCCTGTAGTGATAAGCAGTAAGTACACAGTAGATAGTTGAATGACGGCTTCTGAGCTGCTGAACTTTTTAAAAATCCAGAAGAAAATAAGATGATGAACGTCTGTGACTGTGTGTGAAGAAACCACATCACCCATGTTCAATCTACATACCAATCACCTCTGAGTACTGATTTCTATTTTCTCCTTTATACCTGTTCTTCCTCAGTTTTTCTATAATGAGTATGGATATGGATAAAGAAATATATGTATTTATGGTTGTGAATAAACAAGATTTTGAAACAATTTTATTCAGATGGTAGTTTGTGAATTTATATGGAATAGGTTGTTAAAATAGAACAGGGGCCTGGACAGATGGCTCAGTAGTTAAAACACTAGTTGTTCTTGCAGAAGATCTGGGTTCAAATCCCAGCACCCACATGGCAGCTAGCAACTGTCCATAATTCCAGCTCCAGGGGATCTGATGGCCTCTTCTGTCCTCCACAGGCATTGCACGACATGGGTGCACTTACCTACATGCAGGCAATATACTCATGCACATAAAATAAAAATAATAAATAAAATATTTTTAAAGTAGTCAGAACAGATATTAGAAGAGGAAAACATGTGGAAGGTAATTTCTGTTTGGTTCTTCCTCAACAAACTCTGAACTCTGAACAATGACTTTTATGTCTTTGTATCTGTAATGCCCAGCACAGCTGGTATATAGTGTAAAATCAAGAGTTTCTTTCTTGAGTAAATACTGTTGAGTTTTGTCTGAGAGCAAAATCACATGAAATTAAAAATAAGATACTGTTTTGCCTGTCAGTACAGGAAATCAAAATTTGAAATGCTAATACTGAGTGAAAGGCCTCCCATGGAACGGGAGCTTTCTTTCCCACTGGTGAGTGTACATTGTCCCAACCTTCTGAAAGCGTTGGCAACAGCAGCCACTACCGCTCCTTGCCTAGGATCAGAAGCTTCCATGATTGCAGGACTCTATCCCAAGAGCCTAAGGCTATGAACCTCCCCGGAGTTTTATTGTTTGAAGCTCGGATACTGGCAGTGCTATAAAGGGATTATCTTGAATGATGATTTTATTTTCTTCCTGACACTTTTTCCTTGGCTGTCTACAGTGAAAGTAGATGGACATGGGTTTGGGTATAGTTATGAGTTTTTTGATAGAGAAAAGTATAGTTTTTTTCTTTTAATTCAGTTTTGTTTCCTGATTTGGAAATCGATAAAATTATATTCTTACTTGGTTTGAAACTGTTCATTTCTTTGCACTATTTTTTTTAAATCATGTCCTGGATGAAATATATAATAAAAGACCTACATTTTTCAAAGTTGTTTTTCTTCCTCTAAACTTTGCTGTGAAATTTCATGAAGGGGAAGCTGTGCATTACTAACATTTCAGTAATACAGGGAGCAAAATGGTAAGGTGACAGATTATGTTGCTATCAATTTGGTGTCACTATGCTTTCTAACAGCACTACAGCCTTTTAAAATCACTGTAATGTGCATTGCTTTATCATCCACTTGCTTCAGCATGGTGCATAAGACACTAAGGCACTGGTGGGGGCTATATGAGAGGAAAAAGAATTAGAGAACAGCAAAGGAATTACACATAGTGGCCAAGAATGTGGCATTCTGAAGTTAACTGGTAAATCTACCTCTTCATGAAGCCCAGCAAAGTTGAATTCCAGGGAGGCTGCTTTAGACCTGCAATTACCATGATTTTCAAGGAGACGAGTGAAGCCACAAAAACACTTGGCAGCAGGCTGCTGAGAATCACCCAAGGACTGCAAATAACCTCAGCTCATCCTGCACTGCCCACTGCAAAGGGAGTATGAGGCAAAGGCCACGCTCAGGGGGTAGAGGTGGTAGACTTTGTCAAAAATTAAAATGCAAGATGAGCAATTAAGTTAGACTTTCAGAAGAACAGAGAACTTTTGTGTTTCAGTATATCCCAAGCAGGACTTGAGCTGAGGTAGATGTGGTCTGCGCCTGCTCCACTTGTTCATTCATCACCAAGGAAGGTTCTCAGCTACAGCCAGGGCATCACGCTATTAAAGTCGGTCCAAACACTCAGTCTCAACCTAGAGACAACATGCTTGACATTTGCCTGTTCCCCAACATACATGATGACAGAAATTATGTGAGTAGTTTGCACACTTCAGATAACTTTTATTTATAATATTTTAAATTTTTGTCCTTAAAAATGAGACAGAGGGGCTGGAGAGATGACTCAGTGGTTAAGAGCACTGACTGCTCTTGCAAAGGACCTGGGTTCGAATCCTGGCACTCACATGGAGGCAAACAACCATCCATAACTCCAGTTCTAGGAAGTCCGAGGCCCTCTTCTGACCTCCTCAGGCACTGCACAGCACAGGTGGACTTACACACATGCAGGCAATACACCCAAACACGTGAAATAAAATACTACATAAAATAGGAGAGATGGGGCGCTGAAGGTGTGGCTCAGTGGAAGAGCACTCCTGTGATATGAATGAGGCCCTGGGTTCAGATATTGGCACCACACACACAAAACAGGGTCAAGGGGTGTAGATAACTCACCTTTTTAGAATTTTTGTAAACCTAAGCTCTAAATCAGAAGTAAACACTGGCTTTCCTTATCTAGAGGCTTCATTTTTGTGCTGTGTGGAGCCCAGTGCTGCAGCAGTCCTCCCCACAATGTTTATCACATGTATGAAGAGTGTCCATGTGTCTATTCTGTTATCTATTAAATTGTACTCCATGAAGTCAGAGACCATGAAGACTGTGCTCTACACTGTCTCTACAAGGCCTGAAACTGTGCTGGGCCATGTGGTAGCCCATCAAGTACACACTGCATGTATGACTGCGTGAAAGAGAACATGGGGCATGGAAACCATGGAAATTTGAAAATGAAAGGTGTTACAGAGCTTGTCTTCTTCGATCTCTTTTTTTCATCTATTTATTGTGTGTGCGTATATGTGTGTGCACGCATGTGCATGCCCCAACACATGTGGGGAGGTCAGAGAATAGCTTACAGGAATCAGTTCTGTTTTTCTACCACGTGGATTCTGGGGAATCAAACTCAGGTCGGCAGGATGGACAGCAAGCACCCTCACCTTACCAGCTCTAACCTTACTTCTTTATAGAAGAATGAGTCAAGGCCTAAAGATGTTAAACATCTTGTGCAGTTAGTGGAAAAGCAGAGCTAAAATCCAAGTTCCATAGTATTCAAATAGAACTCTTTCTAATTTTTTTTCTTGGTGCCATGAATTGCTAGCTTTATTTTGCATTTTTCTATCATGTGGAAGGAAGGAGTTTTTCTCTCTATTAAGTACACAAAATCATAAATACAAATGATATTTTTTGGAGAGATTGTTGAGGGTCTGTCAAATTCAGATTCAAGAAGAATTTGTGCACTCTCTGAAAGCTTCCCGTGTGACTTCTTGTTTTACTTCACATGAGAAGCAGAGCTGGCTGTTGCTTTCTTCAGCTACAGCTCAAAATTTTAGGCCCTGAGAATTGATTTGCTTGTTATCAAGTAGGTAAGAAATGGCGAAAAACAAGATTTAAAGCCATAATTCCTTGTTTTTTTACTTGCTCCCCTTTTGCTGCATCAGAAGTGCTAAATCATGGGGTTTGATTTCTTTTGTCTTTAACTGAAGAAAGGTGTTTAGTGATGCTATTTCTCTAGCCTTATTTTGTCTCAGACTTTGAGATATAAGATTTACGCACTAATAGAAATAACAGGAATGTTCTAGCACTTCAAATAGCTATCAATCATCCTGTACCAGTCTTCCTATTCCTTTCTTGCTCTTTTTCACACCAAACAGATGGTTAAAAAATACTTGTTGTGGTATTGACTAAGTGTCAATATGCAGGGAATGCTTTAATTTGAAGAGATTGTCTCCTAATGAATGTGAATTGAGGTGCCCAGGTCCCCTGAGTAGTTCAAGGCCTGCTTGTCTCCTGCAGTCACTTTTGTCTGGATGTTTCAGAATTCTAGAAACATCTAGATTAGAATATCCAGAAAGCATATTTTCTATGTATCCTTCCTAGGTTTCTTTTAAGCTAAATTGTAAATAACTAAAATTTATTTATAGATAATTTAAAAATATGTAAATTACATCTATGAAATACAAGCACGTATGATTTTTCAAAAAAAAAGCTTAAAGTTTTCTTTCCAATATAATTTTTTAATGAATTAAACAAGTTCAAAAGCACAAGATTGCCTTTATTTTATTTTATTGGTGGTTTCTTTTGTTTTGGTTTTTTGAGATAGGGTCTGTCTTCCTATATCCCTAGCTCCCCATGTAGACCAGAATGACCTCGTGAAACCTGCTTGCCTCTGCCTCCAGAGTGCTGGGATTTAAGGCATGTGCCATCATACTCAGTACAAAATCTCTAATCCCAGCATGTGGTAGGCAGAGGCAGAAGGATCTCTGTGAGTTTGAGGCCAGCCTAGTATCTATAACAAGTTCCAGGCCAGCCAGGGCTACATAGTGAGACCTCTCAAAGAACCAAAAATTAACTAATTAATTAGTTAGTTAATTAGTTAAATTTAAAAAATACAACATATCTCATATAAAAGATTCTTATCCCTAAATTAGCTTTTGAACACATTTTATAATTTAGTTTAATTTTAAGATGTGTTATCATTAGCTTTTCCTAAGGTAAGTAATTATAACATATCTTATCTCTGTTCATTCCCAGCCATGAAATAAAGGAAAATGCAGTGGAGCGATTCATGTTTCAGATAAAGAAGCTCAGGGATAAGAACCAAAAGTACCTTGAAAGGGTGAGTCTAGCACCCGGAGCCATGTACAGTCACAGAAATGGACACACACCCTTTAACAGTGATGAATGATGATGAAATGCACCCTAGGAAATGTGTTCTTCAATGCTTTGAATTGGCTGATTTATAATTTATTTTCTTTTTTATTTTATTTATTATTCTTTTATGTGTATGAGTGAATTGCCTGCATGTGTTTAAGTTTACCTGTGTCATGCAGTGCCCACAGAGGTCTGAAGAAGGTATCAGATTCCCCTAGAACTGGAGTTATAGACAGTTGTTAGCCACCATATGGGTGCTGGGAATCAAACCCAGGTCCTCTGCAAGAGCAGCTAGTGCTCCTAATTACAGAGCCATCTTTCCAGCCCAAATTTATTGAGTTTCTTTATGCTTGTAAGGCCAGAGGTACTAATGTTTCCATTGCACTACTGGTAATGTCAGTAGAAGTCAGTTCATCATGCTGTTTTGATCATGTGGAAGGTAGCCTTGAAACCATTTCTTGTTTATCCAAACTATAAAACACGGGTTCTCTATTTTAGTCTCTGAATCTTTCTTTTGGATTTTCCAAGACTGTGCATATGTAAATGCATTTTAAAAAGTATAACCTCAGTCGTTAATTTTAAGATGTGTTGTCATTAGCTTTTCCTAAGGTAAGTAATTATAACATACTGGATGGATATTTAAAATGACAATTTACTTTTATAAAACTCAGGTTAAGGGACTGCCTAGATGGCTCAGTGGGTAAAAGTGCTTGCCACCAAGTCTCATGACCTATGTTTGATCCCTAGAATCCAATGGTGGAAGGAGAGAACTGATTCCTGAAAGTTGTCATCTCATCTCCACATGTGCTCTGTGGCATGTGTACATGCAAGTACATGCATGTGTATGTGTGCACATATGCACGCACAAAATAAATAAATAATAAAATGCAATAGCAAAGTATTTAAAAATCAGAGTAAAATGACTAACATAGGGGTGCTGACTATGTCCATCATAATTAGAGATCCCCAGAAATAAACTTTGGAAGCAGAAATGATAATGACACAAGTCATTCCCTCAAGGGGCATCAATAAGGAGAGGCTAAGAGTGACCCTTGTTCACATGTCTATTTTGGTTTTTTTTGTTTTGTTTTGTTTTGTTTTGTTTTGGTCTTTTTGAGACAGGGTCTCCTTGTAGCCCCCAGCTGGCCTGGAACTCGCTATGTAGACCAGGCTGGCCTTGAACTCACAGAGATTCGCCTGCCTCTGCCTCCCAAGTGCTGGGACTACAGGCATGTGCCACCATGCCCAGTGACATGTCTATTTTGTATGGGCTAGAAACTTCCACAGTTAACTATTTTATTTGACTTTTTTCATTTATTTCTTTTTTCTCTGATACAAGGTCTCACTACATGGCCTAGCCTGGTCTTTAACTCATGATTCTCCTGCCTCAGCCTCCTGAATTCTGGATTATAGTTGTGTGCTATATCTGACTTACCTTTTATTTTAAAAGGCTGTATCTTTCTCTTTTTTCATTTTTAATATTTTTATTGAGTATTTGTAGATTTCATATAATATGTCTTAATCAAATTTAGAACCCCCCTCCCCTTCCCCAGCCCCTCATAGCCCTCCTCCACCATACTTCAGGTATTCTGTCATATATGTTAAGTCCTATCAGGTCAAGCATTTCCATACAGGTGTCCCTCCATGCAAGTTCATCCACTGCTGTCTAGTCAGGCTACCTAGAGTCTCTCACTTAAAGAAGATCTACTCTCCCTCACCCCACAGTAATCATTTGCCAATATTTCCTTGGCTAGGGTTGAGGCCTGCTGTCCATTTCCCCCATTCTATGATGCGTTTTTGTCTGATTGAGTCTGCATGGGTCTTGTGCATGCTGCCAGCATTGCTACAAGTTCATATGAGCAAGTTTCCAGTGGCCTGGAAGACTCTGTTTCCTAATGTTCATGCACTGAGCCATGGGTGGGTGAGGTTTAATGCAGGAGTTCTATCCAGGGACACACACTCTCCTATTCTCTAAAACTTAGCCAGTTGTGGTCTTCTGTGCACATCACACTCTGTTGTATGAAGAATCTTTGCTGGTGAGAGTTGAGGGATGTATTAGTACTCTCTCTACCCCCTGTTCCACTATATTCCATGAGTCTTAGGTGTAGAGGTTCCACTGTAGATATGTCACTTAGGGCCAGGCATCTGTCAGACATATATTCTCTGGGTGTGACCAGTCGTAGAAATCTGTAATAGCCTCCATCTTTTGCAAGAAAGAAAGCTTTTTTGATTAGTGGTACACAGTACATTTGTCTGTAAATATAAGGATTCATATTTAGCTTACAGTAAGAAATCTATCTCATTTGTCTAGAAATATGACACAGATAGGGTTTTCTCTAGGATCTATGACCTCTCCAGGAGAACCATGTATATTTGGCTGTATTCACATTGCCACCCATGAGTTCAGTCCCATTGAGGGTTTTAAATCCAATTAGATAGCTGCTGATAACCCCCTAGATAATAGTGCCACTATTGCACCAATAGAGATAGTTTGCTTTGTTGTGGTTATTAGGCTTTAGAGCTTGGTTTGACCGTTGATTGTACATTTATTTTCTTCCTTAGTAGCTTGCATAGTATCCTTTAGAACTATGAGAGCTGGTCTTCAGGGAGGAGTCTTCCTGGTCAGTCCCAACTCCCTTGCTCCAAGTCCTGTGTCTGACATATGTCCTGTCTTCAGCAGTAGGGTCTTACCTTCAAGTTCTGGGAGGTAATCAAAGACTGTGGCAATAGCTTGTGTTATTTTGAGAGTCTCTTGGACTACTCTGACCAGCAACTCAAAGGGAGGTTTCTCCTGTTTGGCACTGTGTTCCTTTTTATATAGCCTTCAGGTACACACATGTACTAATGTTCAGATATTATATGTGTATTTTTCAGGGGGAGTGTTGAGTTAATACATTTTTCTCTGGCTTTTTATGCCACCTTAGCTTTATTTATCTCTCTTCCCTCTCTCCTTGTCTAACCTCCCTCCTCCCTCCCTCATTTAAGTTCCTGGGCATATGCCTTTAATCCCAGCACTTGGGAGGCGGAGCTACGCGGGATCTCTGTAAGTTCAAGGCCAGCTTGGTCTACATAGTGAGTTCCAGGCTAGCTTGGACTACAGGGAGACCCTGTCTCAAAAAGACAAAAAAAAAAGGCAGCAATAAACATGGATGTACAGGTATCTCTACAGTAGGATGAGTCCTTTGGGTATATGCCAAGGAGTGGTATAACCAGATCATATGGTAAAATCATTTTTAGTTTCCTAAGAGTTCTCCACACTGCTTTCCATTAGGTTGCATGAGTTTGCAATCCCACCAGGAGTGAGTGAGAGTTCACTTTCTCCACATCCTCATCAACATTTGATGTCTTTTGTTCTCTTGATCTTAGCCAGTATACTGGGGTAAGATGGAATCATAAAGTGGTTTTGATCTACATTTTTCTAATTACTAAGGATTTTGAGCACTTTTTAAGGTGTTTCTTATCTATTTTTTATTTCTTGGCTTGAGAACTCTCTAAGTCCTTATTTTTATTTTATGAATGTGAGTGTTTTATATGCCTGTGTGTAAGTACACCATATGCATGCAATACCTGTGAAGGCCAGAAGAAGGCATTAGAGCCTCTGGAATTGGAGTTATGGATGGTTATTAGCCCCCATTTTGGTACTGGGAACTGAATCTAGGTCCTCTAGAAAAAGCAACCAGAGCTCTTAACCACTGAGCCATCTTTAAATTTTAATGGAATCTGGAGTCACAATCTGAGTTTGCTTCCTGACTGAACAACTTTCTAGTGAAATCTTTCTGAGAAATGTTGGCATGAGCCTCAGTTGTCCCCTTGTAAAATGAGGGTTGCTGTTTTCTTCATAGAACTAACCTGTTCTTTCATCCAACACCTATTTGTGGAACATGACAAGCCTCTGGCGTTTGTGCCTGATTCTGATACTTTCACAATTCTCAAGAATCAGAATTCATACTAAGAATTAAAACAGACACAGGTTTGTAGGAGAGAGTAAAAGATCTGGCCAATCAATATGTTTGGGTTCTGGTTCCACAGGATAAGATCGAGAGCTTGAAAGAAGGGTGAGCTGCCCTCAAGGGACCAGTGCACATGTTCTAGTAGTCAGCATTGGGACTCCCCGGTCAGATCTAGCTTTGGAAAGTACAAAGAATCAGGACTGAGGAATCCCTTTCCCTATTAGCAATATCACTTGGAACCAGAAACAAAGTTCTTGTTTCTATGAATATCAGTTTATAAAGTAGACAAACCAAATTCCACACATCACTGGACCCAGCAGTGATGATCATGAAGAAACAGACTAGCTCCAGCTGTGTATCCAGATGTTATCATTTCTCCCCATTCCCTCTGCTAATTCCCCAACCTAAGCCATCATTGCTTACCCATCCTTACCCTTCCAATACATTTCCCCAGTCTAAGCTGGATCACTGTGTAAAAATATAGATCCATTATTAAATTGAAAGCTCTTTAGGCAGTAGCAACAAAACCTTGTCTTTGAAGAGGTTCTCAAAGATATTTGTTGAGTCGAGTCATGCTGACACTAGTAGAAGGAAAAACTTCTGAGGTCACAGAGTCAAGGGTCCAGTTAAATATGACTGATTGACAATGTATATGTTTTCTCTGTAGTTATGTCAAAATCAGAAATGCCCTTTTCCATCCTGCCACCTCTTATTCTGTATATTTAGTTCTGTTGTGATTATCGTCTGGTTATCTCTTGTTCAATTGCATGCTCTACTCACCTCATTACATATTTCAGCTCTGTGACTCCTGTCTACTTCTGTACCTCAGCCTGTTCTTTCGGTCCTACTATCCCACCACAACTGTTCTGGCAAGAGCTATTAATGACCATGAGCCTGATCCAGTAGACCCTCTCAGTCCTTACTTTTTCCTCACCCCTTCAGCAATACCTTTCTTCTCCTTAAAACGCTTTTCTCCTTTGGGTTCCAGGACCTGACTGCCCTTTAAATTTGCTCC